TTTACCGTTCACTGCAACACAAATCACGAACCGCCATGTTTGCGATCTTTCGACATTTTAATCCATCTTGATCGGAATTTAAATCACGAAACTTGTTCGCTAATTTTCCAGAAGCTGTACTGTATATTCTTTCAATTTGGTCCACCATTCTTTTTCAATCTTCCCTTAATCCCGTTTATTGTGTAAGGTATTCTAATTAGGATACGCCTTGGAAGTTTTTCAATCTTTTTCAATTCTCGTCGTTGAAAATTGATCCTGATGCTTCGAAAATACTTTCTACGTAGGCACAGTTCGAAATTAGGTATTATTTCATTTGATCCATAAATTGCACTTTTCATATAATAATAATAATAATAATAATAATAATAATATAATAATAATAATTTTTATTTCTAACTAGAGATTCTAGGAATCAAAAGAATTGGGAAATAATATCTAATAGTTTTATTTATCATTTAAAAGTATTAGGTGAAGTAAAAGGTAATCCATTATTTTTGCATGAAATTGAATGCAAAAATAATGGATTTCTTTTTATAAATACAAATACTGGAATATTCAGGTGGTAGCCAACATTGTTAATTTATTTCGTCTTTCATTATATTAGGTGTAGTAAAAGGAAATCCATTATTTTTGCATGAAAATAGTGGATTTCTTTTTACTTCACCTAATATATTAATTTTTCGATGGTAAGTGGATAGTTTTAAAACTATTTATAAGCTTGCACTTTCCAACGACTATTATTCGTCACTAATCTCTTATTACTAATTAAAAATCAGGAAATTCTAAGACATTGGAAAGTAGCATCCAATAATTTTATATTTGAAATTATAATTTTTCAATTTCAATAGCACTACAAAATTGTTCGAAATATCAATAAATAAACGACTATTTGCAAAATTGTTTTATCCTACAATTATTATTCGCCACTGATTTGTCATTATTCGATTAGAAATAGGAAGAATGTGTGGAATTGAAGAATTACGTATAAAGATTTTATCAATTATTTGGAAATGTAATTATCTGGTAACGAGTAGAGAATCTTACTGCCTTTTACAAAGTTCTCCAAAATATCAAGAAACAAATGGCACAGAACATTCGTATACCACGATTAAGAGGAATTCCTGCCTTGAAACTGGAAACTGAAAGAGCAGGAAAGATTCAAATTTCACAAAGTTGCGACATAGTTTGTCAGCATCCGTTTACAAAGGCAAACACGCCAAATAGCTTTCCGATATTTTTGATCCACCGATATATCTCGGCTAAAATATTGGAAAACTTTATCGCCAGCATCGTAGTTCGGTAAATAATGTAGAGTTTCGGAATACGATTTTCGCGACTCTTCTGGAATTTCCATGAAAACAACTTCGCCATATAACGAGCACACGAATTTTTTATACCTCGTATTCCATACGAAATCCCACATCTCAGTGATACTGAAAATATTTGAAAAACGAGATATTTATATTATTTGTATTATAAAAGATTCCTAAGCTCGAGTACCTTAATTTAAATCCATACCATATTCTAAATCAGATATTCTATGTAATTATTAAATTATTAAATATTTATTAAATATTTACTAAATATCAAGTATAACTGGAATAAATATTTTGAATTAAATATTTTCATATTTCTAAATTGAATAGGTAACACTTGTGCGAAAGGAATAATTAATTGGTGCTCATAAAATGAGTAATTCATTTCCTGTTGCATGATTTATACAAGAGGAATAATAATGTAAAATTTATGCCAGATGTAATCGATATCAAGCAAGGAAATATTGTATTCTAGATTCGATCTTAAGCACAGTTCTTATGTATTTGCATGTTCATTTCTTTGCATTTTATTATTGTATAATAATAGATGAAATATCGTATGTAAAGGTAAAATTATTTTTATTAATTTAAAACACAATATTTTATTAAAATCTCAATTTAAAAATTCAAATTTTAGAAAAATTTATAATAATGTAATTTACCACAATTTATAGTAATATAAAAATTTGGATTTCATTAAATTTTTGATATGTTGCGAAATAAATTAATGTTTAAAAAGAATAATATAAAAGGAATATATAAAATTAGAAAGTTCAGAGAAATTTAATTTAAAAAAATTAATATAGAGATTTTGGAAATAAATACATAAATTTGTATTTTTTATTGTATTATAATTGTATCCTGTTTAATTCACAAAATATTTATTTTCGTAACAATAGAAAATAGTGGAAAAGAAGAGAATTAAACTTTTTGATATTCTTTTTTAATTTTTTTTTTATTTTTATTATTTTTTATTAATTACTGTTAATTATTGTTATTATTTTTTTAATTATGAATATAATTAGTTGTGTATTTTAGTATAGGCCATGCTAGTTTTTGCATCATTTATTTAAAACACATCTACATTCGACAGAATTTGTATGATTTAACATTGACTGGGATTAAAACGTTTTTTAAAAATGATAAATACGAATGGACTATTTCATACTTATCGAGTGTTGTAAAAACAGGAAAAAAAGTTTCGTTGGTAATAATGTTTCCTACCAGCAATTAATTACCGAACACGACCTCTATATGCAGGCCAGTCATGCGCAGATCTGTGGTCGTTGAATATTTCTTTTTCGATATGGCCACCGAAAGGTTTTATCGAAAACAAAATTAAAGAACGAAAAATCTACACGGACGGAATTACTGAGAGTGACCATCGTGCATTGGTAATTTGGTAAGTCAAGCTTACTTTTTTTATCTCGTTACTATCAGAGGTTACAATTTAAGCGTAAATTTGCCGAAAAAATAAAAAGACACCAGTATGAAAGGGAAGATTAATTAAAAATCAAGAGATCGCCATTCGGCTATGATCGCTTGGTTGCCAAAGATTAACGACGCGACTGAAATCAATTTACAATATTTTTATGGATGATAATCGGTCGAATAACCTTTTGGTTACGCGTATTACAGGTTGTTCCGTAATTTTCACCATGATTTTGTTACTCCTATTATGTTATTAGCAGCATAATTTATTTAAGCAAGCACCGCTTAATAAAAAGACACGTTGTTTATATAAGTCTCGTTTATTCTCCTGTTACAATGAAACTCACAGCATTATTCGTATTAGCTGTGTTGATTCTATATATAACATGATTTTATTTCAACCTAAATGGCTATGTTTTTCTCTTTTTATTATAAATCGCAAAGTTATTTTAAGCCATAACTTTGTGTGATATTAGTGTCTTTATATGGTGCACTTTGTTTAATGTTTTGTGGTACTTGTGCATCCTGGAAACATTATTGGAAATATGAGGTTTCCTTTTTATCGGTAAGTAGCTGGAGATTAATTCTTATACTCCAGCAAACCGTAGTAATAGTAATACTAATAAGAATGATAATAATAATAATAATAGTGTTTATAATAATACTATAAATTAGTTCTTATATCGAAGAACAAATCAACTTTAATGTCAGTTCCTTTAGGAGCCCAATTACTCTTTAGAGTTGTTAGCCTAAATGTGTAAGTACATATAATAAAATTGATTTATTTTATAAAGTGCGTTATAACAACTCATTTAAAGCATATTTTAAAACTTGTGTTGTATTTTGTGTTGCTGAAACTATCTGTTCAGCAATGTGTTACGACACATAGTATAAGCATTTAGCATTAAGCTGTTTGCTTTTAAATGCAAAGTTATACTAAGTTTTTAATTTAATATAAAATTAAACGTATCAATGGAAACTTCACATTTAAATAATGTTATATGTGTATATAAATTGTTTAAATATGATAGTATATACAACATTAAATGGGTAAGTATAGTTCTTTAAAATTTGTAGCTTTACTATAATAAACTTTGAGAAAAAGAAATATCATACATGATTAAATCAAATTGCTGCTGCAGGGTTGGCTTGTAAAATAATGTTATTATTCTAAATAATTTCTACAAATATTAATGAACATTATCTATATATGTTACTTCTAAATTCTTAATTTCTTTCAGATTAACTATATATTTATTTTCAGTTTATTATTCGCGATTAATCAGGAGTTTATTTTTCTGTAGCATTAACTTATATACTTCATAATTATCTATTAGTTTGTAACTTTTACTAATTCTTATCGTTTTCTGCCAGCCCTAATGCTGCATTGTTATTGTACTGAAACATCATAGCACTTTTGTGTTTTCAGAAAACGTGGTGAGAATTTTTCATAGACGTGGGTCAACCATGCAAAACTTTGACGATCTCGACATAGAGGGACGCAATCCCTCTCATTTATCAGAAGCAGATAAAGAGAAGGTAATGCACAGTAGAAATTGTTTGTAAAAAATGTTGTTATTTATAACTGATACTGAAAGAAACTGTTTATAAACAGAGTCAGAATTTTAAATATATTACAATACACATTTGTCAAAATTAAATACAAACATATGTTATTTTAAATTACTATACTAATCCATAATTATATACTATGCAAAACAAAATTTACCAAGGAAATCCGTGTTTTTGTATTAAAGAAACTTATATTAATTTTACATTCAAATTATCGTTATATTCTTATATTCTGTGATCTATTCTTGAAATGACAGTTATCTGTCAATTTTATGAAATATTTGTATTTCACAGGAAGAATATGATCGAAAGCGTTTAATGAGGAGCAGTGTCACTGCTGAAGATGGCACGCTCAGACCTGTGTATTCTGAAACAGAAGATGGTGATATATGGTGTCATATATGTAATATTGCTCTGTTTGGAGCTCATAAGTTACTAAATCATAATATGTGTAATCGTCACAAAATGAAATTAAATGAATGGCCATATCCAGTTTTATTATGGTCCAAACGTTCAGATATTGTGAAAACAGCTCCACCTGTACAGTCAACTGCCATTGGTGATGGTCTGGCCCCTGGAGAACCAGTACCACCTGGCATGGAAGATCAAATAACTAGAACAACAACGATTCAGATGAGTCTGGATCGACACAGAAGTTCTCCACTCGTTGGTCTTGAATATCTGCTTGAACTGGTTGATAATGATTCTTGTGAACCCAGTTATACATGTGTTTTGTGTGATAAACGAGGTGATCCTCGCACTGTTATGGCTCACATTACCAGTTATAACCACAGAATAACTTATCTAAATAGACATTTCCCAACAATATCGCGAGCAATTACGGAATTACCGCGTACTCCGAATTATAAGCGTGGAGCTAATGAAATATCTGTGTTAGTGGCTAAGAAGATTGAAGAGCGATTTGGAAGATTACAACCGCAGTTGGTAGACAAGAATCAATTTGAAAAGAATAAAATGCAATATATCAAACGGGTCTATCAGGATTACCACTTTAGGTAAGTCATAATATTTTTCTTTTCACGTTTCCGATTTTTTATACTGTTGAGCACAAACGAATTGAGCACTTCGGTTCGCGATGTTTTACGAAAGTTTATGGACGTGATTCGACGAGGTGCGCGCTAATGACTTTCGTAATTTAATTTACCTTTCCTTAAAATCAATGGCTGTTTCCTACGTGCAGGGAAACGCCAGAGTTAACATTTATGGATGTTTACGATGTGCGATGGGTAACAAACTTTGAAGAGAAGATGGCAGAAATGACTGGTAATAGTAGTACAAAGAAAGGTGAGTATACAATAATTTATATTTTTAATTTACAATATTTATGGTTTTGGAAGTATTTATTCATTCATTCAATAATCTTGTATTAAGATTCTCAACCTATCGATGAGAAGCAAGACGATAAACATAAAAGTGAAGACAAGAAAAATGAAAAATCATCACCGAAGAAAACAGATTCAAAGACAGATACTACAAAATCGTAAGTTAATACTTACCCTGAATTATTAACTTTGTATATAACATTTTAATTTGGCAGAATTCATTTAATACCTTTACCATTGCTTACTTTCTATTATCTTTTCCATTTAAATAAATTTGGCAAATAATGATAATTAAGAAATAATACAAATACATCGAATATAATCCTATCCCTTCCTTCGTTAATAAATTGCCGGAAATCAAACATTAAATTAATGTTTTATCTTCTTTTAGGGGTTTCAAGATTCGTATTCTCACGAGGGATAAATTAAATATCCGTAAACCCCTAGATAAAGACGAAGAAAACGTGAAAAAGTCCCCCAAACGTCCCTCTGACGAAACAAAATCTCTCTCGTCACTTTCAAGCATATCGAGTAGCCCATCGCCATCGCGTTCGAGGTCACGATCACCTATCCGTAGTCGTAAGGCCAGTTCAGTAGATAAGAGTGGTAAATATCGTAGTAAATCGCGATATTCGCGGGATCGTACCCGTTCTCGTACTCGTTCGCGTTCACGTTCTCCGGAACCACTTAGAGAGCGAGATAAATGGGATAAATATCGAGAACAAATTCGACGCGCCGAAGAAACACTTGATCGCGCGTTAAAGTTTCATGAGAAAAATCCAGAAAAGCATCCGTCTTATCCTGACGAATGGAAAAAGTTTTGGAACAGACGGTATAAAGAATTGCAAGCTGAAGGCAAAGATCCAAGTAAACATGATTTTAAGCCGGAGTGGATCGAGTTCTGGAACAAACGAATGCGTGAAATTCATAACGAACAGTTACAACAGCGAAAAGAAGAAATCAGGAAACGATTAGAATTGCCGGAAGATAAACCACCAGAAAAATGGATTCCGTCAAATAGGCGTGATAGATCGCCCAAGAGAAGTCGCCATCGTGTAGAAAGCGATGATGAGGTGGAATATGTTGGTACAAAAACAATTAAGACGGATTATTATGATCGTCATGATATGAGGGAACGTGATTATGCGTATTCTTCGTACATGCGTGGAAGAGGAAGTATGTACAGAAGTAGTTATTATCCTCGGGGTATTCCGCCTCGCACAAGATCGATACATTACGCGACACCATACCCGGTAAAAGATAAGTCACCGAGTCCTATACCAGATGAAGTATTGAGTGAAGACTTAGAAGTTGTTGGTTTACTGCGATTACTTACGGCACTGGAGGGTCAATTAGGCTCTCTTGGTCCGAAAATAGTATCCCTCCTTTCAAAAGCATTAGCAGCAGAAAAGGCGAAACCTAATTCTGCCGAAGAGTTATTATACGATGAAGAAGTGAGTGTACTGTTTGAAACGGTTAAGGAAAAGTTAAAAGGTCAGTTATTTGCGGGCATGATAGAAAAAATGGCTATAACGCCAACGAAATCCGCGATACAAAATATTGCTCAATTGCTGCATAAGGCAGCGGAGAACAAAAAGAAAATGGAAGAGGAGAAAAAGAAGAAGCGGGAATTGGAAGCTGCGAGGTCGACGAGTTACATACCTAGAACGGTGTATCCGAGGCCAGTCGAGATAATTACACCTGCAATTAAATCCGAACCCGTTAGTGTACCTGGTGTTGGTACAGTAGACAAAGTCGCCATAGCTCAACAAATAGCAGCTGCTTTAGTAGCACAAGGTAGATCTAATGTATCGCAAGAAGAATTAGAAACTCTAATTAATGCCGTTGTTGGAATGGCCGAGGCATCTAAAAACTCGGATAAGCCAGTAACAACTGCGGATTTTGTTAAAGGGCTATCAAGTGGCAATAATTCCCTTCCTCAGGCTACAACGCCTGCACCCGCGACTTCGACAATAGTAGATACAGTTGAACGCCAAACTTCTAGAATGGAGAGTTTGTCAGATACAGACTTGAAGTCACTTTTACAAAATTTCAAAGACTTAAGTACTCAGGAACAACATGGACTTATTAATTTCTTAAAGAAGTTAGAGATAACTGATCCAGTTCGAGTAGAAAAATTAAGAGCATTTGTCAATTTGGGCACGACGTCAATAGCGACGTCAACACCCAAAATCAAGTCTCCAACACCAGAAAAAATGGAAACTATTACCAAGTCAAATAGAAGTATTTCACCGTTCTCCGGGCGCAAGGGAAATCAAAATCTTGTAGAGGAGGAAGATAAATGGAAACCTAAGATAGATATGTTTGCAAATGATGACGAAGAGGAACAGACAAAGAATGACAATGAGGAGAAACAGAAAACGAAATTAGATCTATCGGATGACGATGACGATTATACGTTTGAAGATATATATAAAGCAGCAGACAAAAATGTCAACGAAAATGAGAAAGCGAAGAAGAAATCACGAGCATTTTCGAAATCGATGTCAAATTCACCGAGATCATGGACGCGCTCTCATTCTCGTTCGAGATCGCGCTCTCCCGTACGATCAAAAGAACTGACGAAAACTAATGATCCAAATGCGATTTTAAACGAGACCAAACGATTAATAGCTAATATAATGGGCGATCTTCCAAATAAATACGTGCCAAAATCGCATTTGCAGCTTGGAAATGAAAGTACTGATCAAAATATGACAAAATCAGTAGACCCAATGACTAATACGTCAACAGCTTCAGTGTCGAACTTTTATAATCAAGATTATGTTCAAAATAATCAATCTTGCTCCCGTCCACAAGGACCTCCTTTAAGTTATCCAAATATGTCCAATCAACAGTTTTCAAATTATCCTCAACAAGTTTATAGTGGTAATCAGGGTTACATGGACAATAGTTATAATTACCAAGGTTACGGTGGTCTAGGAAATCAGGGTCAATACAGTGGACCGTCCATGACATCGAATCAATATCCGACTCAACAAAATTACGATGGATCAGCTTATGCTGGACCACCCACAGGTCATTCTTCTAGTTATTCACAGCAACAACCACAGCAATATGGAAATTACGTGCAACAACAGCGTTTCTATTAAAGTGACATTCAACTTAAGGATCGCTCAGAATATATGGAACTTTTACATAATTGTAAACTATTTGCAATTGTTATGGGACTAGTTTTTACCTTAGACACTGTGCTAGTGTCTAGTGGGAATGTTTCAATGTTACTAGTTCAAGAATCTTAATTGAGGTATAGAAATGACCAGGATTCTGTCTAATTTCTAATTTAATTCAAATAATATTGTAAATACGTTTTAACATCCGTTATAAATAGTGATGACTTTCTCACTACTATGTTACATAAGGACTATCCTGATCATTTCTATGAGAAAGAAAAAAAAGTTGAAAATACGCTTATTTCATTGTCACAGGACTTCCCGATAAAAAGTTTATTTCCCTGTCGTTTTTTATACGTTTATAATCGCGCGTCTTGCCTCGTCGTTCACGAGAAATTGAAATACGCAAAGGAAATGTTGAAATTTTTCTCAAAGTGCGCATAGGCGTGGAGTGAATGTGGATTTTCTAACGATGGAGTGTTTAAAAAATAAAAAAAATGAAAGATGGTTATCACCGGGACGAAAGTAAGTAAAGAAAAAAAGAAAAAAAAAAAAGAAACTTGAAACGAGAAAACGACTTTACTCTCAATTACAGTTTGTAATAATATATTTTAATTAAATTTTATTAATCGGTGTTACGTTCATCATCTTTATAATTTAGCAGTTTCAGATACGTGTGATAAAATGTCAAAGGAGTCGAAAGTAACGATGTTATTTTTACAAGCACTTTTAATGTTTAAAGAAATATATATATATATAATAGCAAGAATAACTATGTGTAATTTTTCAATAAAAAAAAAGTTGTAAAAGAGCATTAGAGTAAACGAGTAAACAATAACCTTCGTTTGTAAATATTTTTAAGCGTGTAAGTTTTTTCATGTCTCCGTGAAACTACAAAGATACAAAGGAACATGTTTTCTTAATACTCGATAATAGTACTAATAAAATTATCCATAAGTTTAACTGTATAAAGAAGGAAAAAACACATAAACAAACTATATTTCATCTTATGTCTCGTAATTTCCATTCTAACAAATGTTACAAAAAGAAGGAAAACAAAAACTATGCAACACATACACGAATAATCCAGTCTTCAAAAACGAGTAGGAATCTGACTTGGACACGATAATTATTTTATATTTTATTAATGCAATAATGAAATAATCGATATATTAATACCATGTGGCTGCACAGTGCACATTGACTAGAGAATTATAAAGATTTTTAGCTATTTCGCGCTTATTGATACACACAGAATACCATGTGTCGTATCACAACGAATCATATAATTATATATATATATATATATAAATTAATCAAACAAAGCTCACGATGCGGTTCGTACAATATTTACACGTTTCTTTACAGACTTTACTGGAACGTATTAAAAATTTCCTACTTCGGCACGAGACCTCTCGTCTTTGGATAAACCGGCGCTGGAATCTGTTGTACCTTCCCAACACTTTTAGGTCGTATTTTCGCAGATTGTAAACGTGGTTTCGATTTAAGCTTCGCACTAGACGCATCCACGTCGATGTCCCCTTCGTCCCGCAGCGCTTCCTCGAGAACAGCTTGAATCGTAGGTGCAATAGCAGGCCCCTGATAGTCCAGCGTTGTTCTGGCTGGCATATCTAGGTCTAGGTTCAATACATTTTCACCCGCATAACGACAACCCCTTTCCATAGCTAGGGCAATTCGTGCATATTCTGAAACTGGCCTACGGGCACCAGGAATCGACGTAGGCCTCTTTATCATGTCTATACTGGATGGTTCCGGCTCTTTCACTATCCAGGAGTCTTCCTCCTCGTCAAGGTGAATCCTCGATAGAATTTTATTTTTCTCCTCCTCTGGAATGAAATTTTCTATTATGAGGTACTTCAGCTTCAACTCCTTCATTAGCTCGTGTTGGGTTTGCTCTAAGTCTCTCCTGTCCCTGTTAAAATCGTTAGTAACGTCTTCGAGTTCTTGTTTGAGAACCTGTAACTTATTAAAACATTTCCTGAGTTTCCTCGATTTCACATCCACTTCTTGTTGCAAGTTCGAATAGGTTTCTTTCACGCCTAACATTGTCAGCTCCTCGTCTTCGAGTTTCTGCTGCATTTCGACCTCTCGCTTCTTCCTCTCGGCAATTTCAGCCGCCTTCTGTTCCAGCGCCCTCTGTTGCTCGTTAGTATGGTCGATTATGTTCTTACCTCCACAAAGCATCTTACTCTCCAGGTCCTTTATTCTCATTATAAGCGTCTCCGTCTCTTGCTTCTCGGCTCTCAATTGCTCCGCGATTAATTTCTTATCCGTCTCTATCTTATTATCTTCGCCTCGGCTGTCCTCCGCCTCAGACTCCGAATCTACGGCTTCGTCTCCTTTCTTCTTCTTCGACTTCTTCTTTCGCTTCACCACCGTACCCTTCTGGGCCAATTTCTCTTTCAATCGGCCAATCTCTTCCTGATACTGTCTCAATAACGCATCCTTCGGATCTTCGTTTATCCTTGGCTTGTTCTTAATATTCTTGGCCCGATTCGCATACCGCAACGTGGTCAAGGTCTCGTCGTAATTGTAACTCGCCGGCCCAATGTTGGCAACCATGATGGTCTTGGAGTTACCGCCTAGAGAGTCCTGCAGTAGTCGCGTTAATTTAGAATCTCTGTACGGCACGTGCGTGGTTTTCCCGTCGACCAAGGCCGAAATTACGTTTCCTAATGCTGACAAGCTTAAATTGATCTTACTCGCTTCCTTAAGCCTCTCGCCAGAGGCCCCAGTTTTGCTCTGCCTTTCACTACCCGCGAGATCGACCAGGTTCAAACGGCCGACCCTGATTCCGCCGCTATCGCCGATCGATCCCATTTCAATGGTAATCAAAAATATCGCGTGCGACCTAGAGCTATGCTCGTTCATATTCGTCGCGCCTATGGTTCTATTCTGGTTTCCAGTGTTCATCAACTGTTGAATTTCCGCGGCACTCTTGCACACAGACGTGGACAGGTCCTTGACGAATACACCAGTGTCCGGTTTTTCTTTCAACTCGAATCTCAGGCTCTGATCAGGCTGCAAAAGGTCACGAATCTCTTCCTGGTATATCTCGAGGTAACTGGCTCGCACCAAGTACTGCATGTTCTCCGATCTACCTATGTGATTAAAAATATGCTCGAACGAGCGTGGAATTACGCCACGTCTCTCGTGGTCGTTCTTCAGGCCTTCCATGGTATACGTTTTTCCAGTACCGGTTTGTCCGTACGCGAAGATAGTGCCATTGAAACCGTCCAAGACCGAAGACACCAACGGCCTGACCGTCTCCTCGTAGAGATCTTGCTGGCTAGAATTCCAGTCGTAGACCGCATCGAATGTAAAGACTTTCACATTGTCGCTGGACGGATCGTCCCGCGGATGACGAATCTCGACCACTCCCCTCGACGGGTGCACGTCGACCACGCGCGTGTAACCACGGGTCAGTTCTTTCTCGTCCATCGGTCTGCAACGCACGACCACCTGGACGCACTGGGTCACAACGTCCGCTGAGCCGCTCGACTTCATGCTCTTCTTTTTCCAGGTTTTCAGCTGGTTGTCCGACTTATCCATGTCGATGGCCGATGCTTTACCTGTGCAACGAGAGAAACGCAACGGTGAGCCGAGACACTCAATCCGGACTCAAGCACGCACATCTGCTTCGCAAAATCAATAATCTGCCCCTTGTAAAAATTGTGAAATAATCATGTGGTAAAAGTAATCGCTGGTTTCGCAAAGAGACACGGCGGTTATGGTGCTTGTAAATAAATAAAAGTTCTATGGAAGAAACGTGTGACGTCTCCTTTGTTTAATTAGTACGGTTGTACTTCTTAATAATTGTTGCTGTTAATGGAGAAGTGACGAACAAGACGCCGGTTGACGTAACTGTTTGTACTTGAGTGACTTTTCATGTGTAGGATGTACCGTGTAGGATCCGTTGCATGGTCATTGATTAATCGAAACATGATTGTTTTATTCTCGAGGAAACCTGTCCTTCTTCGTTAACCACAACAAGCGCGGGGGAAAGGGGATTCAGGCATACTATACTGATTCTTAATAATCAATTACATAGAGAAATCGTTAGAAGAAATTTCGTGGGATTGCTGGTACAAATTTTCTACGTTTAACGGAAAACTTTCTTGATTTTACATTTTAAATATTTTTCGAATATATGTTCTGTCACCTTTAACGTTAGGAGGAAAAAAAAAAAGAGACAAAAAAAAACGAAAGTTCGACGTGTAAATCTTAACCAAACATGATGTGACATACTAAATGTTACGGGCATGTATTTTTCTATAATTTCACTTACCTTTTCAAGCTATCAAACACGACAAGCACACGGAATGTAAGAAACGTTACTATAAAGGAACGATGATTTTTCGTCGTATCCGCATGTTACCCTTCCCTGCAAAGTATTGATCCATTGTTTGCTTTCTAGCATTTACACTGTCAACACGCGCTCTTTTGATTTCCACTTATTCTAACGGTTCTAATTCGTCAGTTGCTAGAAGTCCCCGCTTTAATTACAGCTCAGAAACGCAGAAACTACAGAAACAAATGTAAAAACAACCGTATCATATTTTGACAGTAAAAAAACCACTACAGTCTAGCGTGCGCAATGAAGTTCCCTTACTCGTTTCCACGGTCTTACTGAATCGATCTCTCGTTTAACCATTGGATATGTTCCTCGAGATAGTCGTGTTAAAGTTGGTTACGCGAGTTCATAATAGGAAATTTACTTTATCGACAACTCGAATTTTTAATTTTTGTTGAATTTGGAATATTGGACTAATGCTGACGTTATGTATTTAGCTGAAATTGAATTAATGTAATAGAAAAGAATTTTATTTAAAAAAATTATTTTTTTCTTTTTAATTTTTTTAACATATTTAGAAATTCTTTTTAATAGCAACAATATAGATTATTGAATATGACATTGAAGTATTTATTTTATTATATTAAGTAATATATTTTTGCAACATAATTTACATTTAAGTTGGTTTATATACTTCAGGTTGTTTTTTTTATACGTAATAGCATATTTAAATTTATGAACTAAAATTGCAATGTTGAAATAAGTATCATTTTTTATGACGTTTACTATGTTCATGATTATGTAAATTTCATAAATTTGAAACTATCAACTAAATATTACGTGTTAATCATCTGTAACAGGAAGTAGCTTTACATTTCATTAAGCAAATTAAAAAAAATAAACGATAAAATAAACATACTTTTTATTTATATGATTGCTCTTTAATATGTTAGAATGTTCTAGTGAATAATACTTCATTCTAAATTATAAATATTTTTATATAATTTTGTATTTCTTAACTGAAAAACGTAATTGAAATTATATATATTTTGTCAAAGAATTATTACATTATATATAATAAATATTTTATATTTTCGAAATATTAAATAAATTTTATGGAAAGTTAACTTTCAATAAAAATATTATTTTTGTCTCCAACAACAAATTTTTGATTAAGGAAATGACGTTACGCTGCGTGGCTAGTTTCGTGGCGTGCAAGTCACCTTCTCGAAAGGGTGCTGTGACAGTATTATTTATTAGAAACGTTACAACCTTTAATTAATAACTGAAATCAATGTCGAAAATTTGGAAGTGTTTTATATAAATTTACAGTGAAGTTAGTGTATTATAATTAAATTGATAAAAACAATAATTTTTTGTATAAAATCGTCGATGAAATCTTTTCCAATTACTTGATACTTTATCGTAAAAACATTAATTTTTTAAGTTACTTTTATATAGTGATCTTAAATAGTACATTACTTAAAATTACATATTTCGAATAATTTTAATATAGAATTACCTATGTATCTATTACAATTTACTAATTTAAGCATTTAACTGTTATTTTTTTTGTTCCAGACAAAATGAAATTGTGGTTAGTTATAATTCATATCATTTTGGTTGCAACCAATATATGGGTCACAGCACATTTTCACGAAGAATTACCTGAAGACAATGAATTTGCAGAGTTTGAAGATTTTGAGGAAGAGAAGCCAACTCAAACAATCAACGACCGTAATACTGAACATGTCAAAGAATCACATGATAATCAAGATTTTGAAGAAGAAGATGTTTTAATTGTTGATGGTGATAGTGAATTTGATCACTTCCAAGATGAAGAAGAATTTGAAGGATTAGATTCAGCTGGAGGAAATACAGGGCCAAAAAGTGATGAACCATCTACTTTAACAATTACAAAAATACCACTTCATTTACGTGCAAGATGGGACAGTTTTTACTTAGAAATACTAATGATCATTGGATTATTAGTATATTTCATCAATTATGTAGCAGGGCGTTCCAGAAATGCTCGTGTAGCGGAGATGTGGCTTATAGAACATAAGCAGCTACTGCTAGATAATTTTTCTCTTGTTGGTGATACGGGAAAATCAAATGAAGATATGTCTGAAAATGGTTTGGTAAAAGAAAGTCAATCACAGTATAGTTTATATTGTTCAGGAAGAATTGGATGTGATTCCATGTTAATTGAATTAAAATTAATTAAAAGACAAGATTTAGTTGCAGTATTAGCACAGCTTGTTAGACCTCAAAATGATCAAGCTCATATACGCGTAGAATTAGCAAAAGATGAAACAGACAATTTTGTGTTAGCAATAGCTACAAAACGGACTGCAATGCATTTAGTACGTGATATGGCTGATATTAGTGTTTATTGTCCAGAGAAGAGACCAGGAGAAAAATTTGGTCTTCCATCAGGTTTTTATGTAATGTCTGAAATTGCTGAAGTAGCATCAGCTATTTTAGATAGAAGAATTTTACAAGCATTTTCAAAATTTGCACCATATTTAGATTATATACATATTAGTGATCAATTTAGTGGTCCAAAACAACAAGAGTAAGTAATGAATATATTTTGCTATAGAAATAAATATTTTCTTATTATTTATGTATTGTGATATTTTATTTTTAATTTTACTTTAGAGATACAACTCAATTAACAATGCCTGAAGTAAAAAGAGTTTTACTTGTTGGACTTAATATAAGTATTAAAGGACGTACTACTAATGCAGAAGGTCAAGAAAAATTGAAACTCCTTCTACAACTAACCTTCTACTTATTAGATAAATTACGTCGTTTTAAATTATCTAAAGAGGTTTGAATATACATTTTTCTTTTTAATTACGTTACTATTTTAATATTTGTTCTTAGCTTACATTAAGTCTTTATCCTATTTAGGGTAAAAGTAAAGCAGATAAGAATAGATTAAGGGTAGAAGAAGCATTCTTAAAAACAAGTCATGCAGCTAGAGCTGAAGCAGCTGCGCAGC